TAATTTATACCGATAAAATATCGGGATATTACAGCATTCCTTCGATTCCTCTGTCTACAATGATCCATATGGTAAATATCAAACTCACTTCCACAAATTATCTCTTGTGGCATGCCCAGATCGAACCCATTCTCATCACCCAGGGTTTTCTTCCGCATCTGGATGGCTCATCCCCATGCCCATCACGCGAGATCACTACACCGGTAGGTACAAAAAGTACGAATCTCGACTTCGCCACTTGGTACTCCCGGGATCAACTGATTCGGCTATTTCTTGTTTCCACTCTCACGGAGGAGTCTATGGCCGTTGTTATTGGCTGCACCTCGTCCCGTGATGTCTGGACCTCTCTTACTCGCGCCTATAGTAATGCCTCGAAGGCTCGAGAACTCAGCATGAAGGACAATCTTCTTTCGGTCAAGCGTGGGGATCTTTCCGTTTCTGAATATGGACATCGTTTCAAGGCAATTTGTGACAAACTTGCTGCCATTGGTCGGTCTATTGATTCGACTGACAAATCTCACTGGTTCCTACAAGGTTTGGGGCCTGCTTTTTCGACATTCACGGCCGCGCAACTTGCTCAAGAGCCTCTTCCTGAATTCGACACACTTCTTGCCCGCGCCGAAAGTCACCAATTTTTCCAACGTTCATATGACATCTCGCCATCGTCGTCTTCGGTTGCATTTTATGCTGCTCCTAAGGCCCGTCCTCCGACCTCGTCTCAGCCACAAGGACGCTTCAAGAAAAATAAAGGCAAAGGTCGTCGTCCGCCGTAGTGCTATTTCTGCCGTGAAGAGAACCATGATGCATGGGACTGTCCTAGACGTTTTGACCGCTCTTTCACTCGGCCTTCCCGATCCTCTACTACAGCTAATCTGGCAGAAGCACTATCATCAAGCTGCTCTATATCACAACCTAATGTTTCTGATTGGTACTTAGACACTGGGGCTTCTGCTCATATCACCTCGGATGCATCTCAGCTTGATGATCTTACTGATTACTACGGCTCCGATCGTGTCACATTGGGTAATGGTGATTAACTTCCTATCACGCAAACTGGTTCTGTTATTTTCTCTAATTCTTTTTAGTTACGCGATGTCCTCGTCGTGCCTGGAATGACTAAGAATCTTTTTTCTGTTAGCAAATTGACCAGAGACATACCTGTTCATGTTATCTTCACTGACTCTTCCCTTCGTATTCAGCACAAGGGCAGCGGCAACATAATTGCAACCGACGTGCGTGATAGTGGCCTATACCGTTTGGATTTAGCGGTCAAGGTTTTTGCTGCTCACACATCCATATCTCGGCGTGCTTCCTCAGAATTTTGGCATTCCCAACTTAGACACTTCTTCCCCGCTATTTTATCTACCTTAGTTAATTTGAAGATGTTATCTGTTACTTCCAGTTTTCCTAAGTCCGTCTCATGTAATTCGTGTCATTTAGCTAAAAGCAAGCATTTGTCTTTTCCTATTTCAACAAAACGATCTTCTGCTTTATTGGAGTTAATTCATTGTGATTTGTGGGGACCTTCCCCTGTTACTTCTACTGCTGGATTTCGATATTATGTTATTTTTGTGGATGACTACTCACGCTTTACTTGGTTCTATCCTCTTCATGCTAAATCGAACTTTTATGAAACTTTTATAAGCTTTCAGGCATTTGTGGAAAATCAGTTCTCTTGCACCATCAAGCGTTTCCAGAGTGACGGGGGTTCGGAGTTTGTTAACAATCGTGTTAAAGCACAAACCTCTAAATGTGGAATTCACCATCTCTTATCTTGTCCGTATACTCCAGAGCAAAATGGTAGAGCTGAACGGAAGCATAGACACATCAAGGAGATGGGTCTCACCCTTTTTTTTCATTCTTCAGCTCCTCTACATTTATGGGTTGAAGCCTTCAGTACTGCTGTGTTCACTATTAACCGACTTCCTTCAGTGGTTCTTGACAATATTTCGCCATTTGAATGTGTCTATGAAACGCAGCCGAGTTATGATCTCTTTCTCGTTTTTGGTTGTCTGGTTTTTCCGTGTCTACGCGACTATGTGAAGCACAAGCTCCAACTTTGCAGTCAGCCGTGCATATTCATCGGCTATAGCCCTTCTCACAAAGGTTTTCGATGCTTAGATCCATCGAACTCGAAGGTCTATATCACTCGCCATGCTCACTTTGATGAATCGTGCTTCCCTTTCTCCGCACTCACATCTTCGGTTGCTCTTTCTTCTCAGGATATTTCAACTTATGTTGATGGTTTTCTTGCTCCGGACACCGGTCCACTTTTCCCATCACCTACTCTGCCGCAGGCTCTTTCCACTTACCGTATATGTGCGTCGAGTGACTTGGTCCAGCCCTCTGATGTTCCACCACTTACTCCTCATGTTCAAAACCCCACTGATGATCTTCCTCACGAACAGCCTGTTGATGCGCAACTCGGTCTCCAGCCGGATACCGCGCCACGGGCTCCTCCTGCTGTCCCACGCACACCTCCTGCTCCCACGCATCCGATGCAAACTCGAACAAAGTCAGGTATCTTTAAACCTCGATATTCTGCCACCATTAACTGTGCATCTCTTCTCACCGCTCTTACGACTATTCCGGAGCCCCGTGGCATCACGGCTGCTCTTAGATCTCCGCAATGGGTGCGTGCTATGCTTGAGGAATTATCTGCTTTAAAGGCGAATAATACTTGGTCTCTCGTGTCGTGCCCTTCCTCCACCAACGTAGTCGGTTCAAGGTGGGTGTTTCGCACTAAACTTCTGGCTGATGGTTCTGTTGATCGATATAAAGCTCGCTTGGTTGCCCAAGGGTTTAGCTAAATTCCTGGTTTTGATTTCACTTACACCTTCAGTCCGGTTGTCAAAGCATCCACTATTCGGATTGTTCTTTCTCTTGCTTTTATGAACTCTTGGCCACTTCACCAACTGGACGTCAAAAACGCCTTCTTAAATGGTGTTCTCTCTTCTCCGATCTTTATGGAACGGCCCCTGGCTTCGTTGATCGTCGTTTTCCTGATCATGTTTGTCAGTTAAATAAAGCCATCTATGGTCTCCGGCAAGCTCCCCTTGCTTGGTACCAACGCTTCCGCAGTTTTCTGCTTTCGATTGGCTTCTTATGCAGTTCTTCCAATACATCTCTCTTTGTTTACAAGAGCGGCGACACATTGGTCTATCTTTTGGTTTATGTTGATGACATAATCATCACCGGCAACGTTCCACCTGTCCTTGCAACCCTCATCTCTCGTCTGCATCGCGAGTTCGCAATTAAGGATATGGGCTCCCTTGGCTTCTTTCTTGGCCTAGAGGTTACTCGTTCCTCTTCTGGCTTATTTCTCAGTCAGACTAAGTATTCCTTGGACATTCTTAAGCGCGCTGAGCTTCAGGACTCCAAGCCCATGGCTACCCCGCTTGCACCTGGCTCTTCCATGACCAAACATAGTGATCCTTTTGACAAGCCGACACTTTATCGTTCTCTTGTTGGTGCGCCACAATAATTAACAATCACGCGCCCATATATTGCTTATTCGGTAAACACTGTCAGTCAATTCCAGCAACATCTAACCATTGATCATTTTTAATCCATCAAGTGGATTCTCCGTTACGTCAAAGGGACGCTGAACTATGGTTTATCTTATTCTGCTGGTCCTTCTTCTCTTGTTGGATACTCTGACACTGACTGGGCACGGTGTTCTGACACTCGTTTCTCCACCTATGGCTATGCCATTTATCTTGGACCCAATCTTTTTTCCTGAAGTGTGAAGAAACAGCCAACCGTGGCTCGCTCTAGTTGTGAGTCTGAATATAGAGCCATTGCTCACACTACTTCATAAATACAATGGGTTATGAATCTCCTTCGAGATTTGCATGCGGTTCCCACATCCTCTCCAACGCTCTACTCTGATAACACAAGTGCGCTTTTTCTCACTCAAAATCCGGTCTCGTATAAGCGCGCAAAGCACATTGATATCGATTATCACTTCGTTCGAGAGCTTGTGGACTCTGGGCGTCTATTCACTAAATTCGTGGAGTCCGACAATCAGGTGGCGGATATATTCACGAAGAGCTTGTCGCACGGTCTCTTTGATTATTTCAGGACCAAGCTACGCGTTTCTGTTGCAGACACGACTTAGCTTGAGGGGGGGTGTTAGACTTGTTATGATATACTCAAATCTTTGCATATCTCTAGTTTATTTTGTTTCCTTCTTTTAGGTTTTGTACTCTATATATTCGTACTCATGTATTCAGTTTACGCAAGTGAGAATAAGATCTCTTTGATTATCACAACATCAACCTAAGGAGGATTCAAAAGTTAGTGGCCAGGGGACTTCTCGGTCCATTGGAAGAGCACTATCCAACGTGTGAATCATGCCTAGAAGGTAAGGTGGCCAAGAGGCCGTTTATGGCAAAGGGGTATAGGAGCCAAGAAGTGCTAGGATTGATTCATTCTGATTTATGTGGTCTTATGTAGATCCAGGCTAGAGGAGTATTCGAGTACTTTGTCTCTTTTATAGATGATTACTCGAGATTTGGGTACATTTATTTGTTGCACCGCAAGTCTGAATGCTTTGAAAAATTCAAGAAGTATCGAGCAGTTGTGGAGAAGCTACATGATAAAAGTATCAAGTCGCTTTGTTCTGATCGAGGTGGCGAATACCTCTTTGGAGAGTTCAAGACATATTTATCAAAAGCTGGGATTGAATCCCAATTGACTGCACTCGGCACGCCCCAGCAGAACGGGGTTGCAGAACGAAGAAATAGGACTCTTATGGAAATGGTAAGGTCGATGATGAGTTATTCAAAGTTACCAGATTCGTTCTGGGGATTGGATTTAGAAACAACTGTGTATATTCTGAACATGGTTCCTTCAAAATCGGTAGAAACTACTCCTTATGAGATGTGGAAAGGGCGCAAGCCCAGTTTCTCACAGTTTCGAGTATGGGGTAGTCCTGCACACGTGTTAGTGTAGGAAGCTGGCAAGTTGGAGAAACGTCCGGAAGCACAAGTGTTTGTAGGCTATCCCAATGGAACGAAAGGTGGATTATTTTATAGAAGGTGATCGTTAGCACGAACGCTAGATTCTTGGAAGAAGACTATATTATAAATCACAAGCCCGCGAATAGACTAGTCTTAGAGGAGTTGAGGGGTGAAGTCGATAGTTCCCCACCGAGTGCGCAAGTAGATACATCACATAATACTGCAACACGACACACTGAGAGTGTACCAGTTCATAGTGGGAGGGTTTCTCAATTACCCGACTGATGGATAGGTCTTGGAGAGTCTAAGGGCTCAGTTCCAAGAAACCTAGAATCGGACCCAAGAACCTACAACGACGCACTCCAAGATAAGATGCATAATCATAGAATGTTGCAATGAATGCTGAAATGGGGTCAATGGACTCTAATCAGGTCTGGGACCGTGTAGAAGGTTATACCCAGATTGAGGTTATATATTATGATGAGACCTTTTCGCCAGTAGCTATGATTAAGTCCATTCGGATTCTCTTGGCTGTAGCCGCTCATATGGATTATGAGGTAAGGCAGATGGATGTCAAGACGGCTTTCCTTAATGAAAACCTTCAGGAGGACATCTATATGAAGCAACCAGAGGGATTCATTGCAAAAGGACGTGAGCATCTACTGTGTAAGCTTAATCGGTCCATTTAAGGATTGAAGCAAGCTTCGAGATCTTGGAATATTCGGTTCGATGAGGTGATCTAGTCGTACGGGTTCACTCAATGTCCGGATGAGCACTGTGTGTACAAGAAAATCAGTGGGAGCGTGGTGGTGTTTCTTGTGTTGTACGTGGATGACATACTTCTTATTGGAAACAGTAAGAAGGAGTTGTCAGACGTAAAGGTGTGGTTGTCTAAGCAGTTTGATATGAAGGACTTAGGAGAAGCAGGACGCATTCTTGGTATTAGGGTCGTACGAGACTGTAAGAAGAGAATGTTGTGCTTATCCCAGTCATCATACATAGATACTGTCTTGGCTAGGTTCAGCATGCAGGATTCTAAGAAAGGTACCTTGCCTTTCAGGAAAGGAATCACT